ATAACAGTTGTATGAGCCCCTAATAAAATGTTAAAAAAAAAAAAGAAAAGAAAACTCCTTTATTTGTTGACCTAGAAAGATGAACTAAATAAACTTAAACCTCTGTATCAGAAACTGCATTTTCTTTATTTCAATTAGGTAGGATCTGAATGTGAAAAATCAGATGATCCTTTCTGGACAGTTTGTAATCACACCCTGAAGACAAGCACGTGCAAACATTAGAGATCTTTGAAAAATAATGTCTTCATTTGTCCTGACTTTAGTGTTGTTAGGTGTCGTCCACTTAGTTCCCACTCATAGCATTCAGCCTCACATCAGCTCCTCAAAATATGAGTTCTTGTTTGTAGTTCTATTGCCTTTTTGTTTTAACGAAGCAGGCTACATAAGAGAAAGGGGGTAAGTTTATGTATAAAGACGTATTATCAACATTGGAAACAAAAGTCAGAAGCAGAAAAATTCTTATGCATCCGATTACACCACTGGAATGGAAGACTCTAGCTCCACTGGATTCGACCAAAATATTACTGAGATTTGGAAGCACAATCAAGGCAAAAGAAAGAGCCCCGATGGTGTAGTGCTCAAGAGTTGGGCTGTGATCCACAAAGTCTGTGTTTTGAAACCACGAGCTGCTCTGTGGGAGAAAGAGGAGGCTTTCTATTCCTATAAAGAGTAGAATGCTCAAAAACTCACAGTGCTGAAAGGCCCTGTCCTATAGGGTCACTAAGAGTTGTCATCGACTCAATGGCAGTGAGTTTATCAAGTCAAAATAAATTGGAATGTGTTCCCAACTGGTCTCAGAACACATCGTGTATTCTCCTGTATAGGAAGCAAAACGACCTGGATTACAGTCATATCTTTCTTCTTCCTAGGTCTACAACCCATGAACAGGTCAGCAACACACCTGGTGACGGAGTTTGTTCTCCTGGGATTCCCAGGCTGCTGGGAGACTCAGGTTTTCCTTTTCTCGTTGTTTCTGGTGGTTTATGTTTTGACCCTGCTGGGGAATGGAGCCATCATCTGTGCAGTGAGATGGGACCCACGTCTCCACACCCCTATGTACTTTCTGCTGGGAAACTTTGCCTTCCTTGAGATCTGGTATGTTTCTTCCACCGTACCCAACATGCTAGCCAACATTCTCTCCACGACCAAGGCCATCTCATTTTCTGGTTGCTTCCTCCAGTTCTATTTTTTCTTTTCCCTTGGCACTACCGAATGTCTCTTCTTGGCAGTCATGGCTTACGATCGGTACTTAGCCATCTGCCGCCCATTGCACTACCCCACTATCATGACTGGGCAGCTATGTGGCATGCTTGTGTCTCTCTGCTGGCTCACTGGATTCCTTGGCTACTCAATTCCAATTTTCTTTATCTCCCAACTTCCCTTCTGTGGCCCCAATATTATTGATCACTTCCTATGCGACATGGACCCACTCATGGCTCTGTCCTGTGCTCCAGCACCCGTTATTGAATTTATTTTCTACACTCAGAGCTCCTTGGTCCTCTTCTTCACTGTCATGTATATTCTTCGATCCTATACTCTGCTGCTCAGAGCTGTTTTTCAGGTCCCTTCGGCCGCTGGCCGGCGAAAGGCCTTCTCCACATGTGGTTCTCATTTAGTTGTAGTGTCTCTTTTCTATGGGACAGTCATGGTAATGTATGTGAGTCCTACCTATGGCATCCCAACTTTGATGCAGAAAATCCTCACACTGGTATATTCAGTAGTGACACCCCTCTTTAATCCCCTGATCTATAGTCTCCGTAATAAAGACATGAAATTTGCCCTGAGAAATGTCCTGTGTAGAATCAAAGTAAGTCAAAACTCATGAGTCAAACATGTGTCATACTTTCACGTTCTAATGAAGAACAAGGTGAAGATGTGTCCATTACCTCTATGGTTTTTTCAGTCCTCACTCTGAGGAGTTAGAGGCCAGATATTTTGTCTGCTGAGCCCTACTTTAAATACCTTTCCTGTACTGATCTTAAACCTTAATTTACTGGTCTTTTTTCCTTATAGAAGGGGTCTGGTTACCTAGTGGGCTATGCAGGGCTGCTAACTGTCAGGTCTGATCGGTTTGAGCTCACCAGAGGCTCTGTGGGAGAAAGATAACGCTGTCTGCTCCTGTAAAGATTGGTAGTCTGTCGATAGGGTTGGTATCAATCAGAATCAATCCAATGGCAGTAGTTATGGTTTGGGGGGGGGCGGCGAGTGTTGTCCTTACTGGAGTGATAAAATGCAATCACACTGTTAGACTTTGGTGTGCCTTTGGTTGGAGGGTCAACCTAGTAACCTTTACTGAATAATTAAAGTGCAGTAACTTCTAGGCAGCATGGGACACTTCTAACCCTTTAAC